TAAACCTATATCTTTCCACAAACATCTTCAAGGCACTGGTTTATCAACATGTATAGTTAAACTAAACCTATATCTTTCCACAAACATCTTCAAGGCACTGGTTTATCAACATGTATAGTTAAACTAAACCTATATCTTTCTACAAACATCATCAAGGCACTGGTTTATCAACATGTATAGTTAATAAACCTATATCTTTCTACAAACATCATCAAGGCACTGGTTTATCAACATGTAGAGTTAAACTAAACCTATATCTTTCCACAAACATCTTCAAGGCACTTATACATGTTGATAAACCAGTGCCTTGAAGATGTTTGTAGAAAGATATAGGTTTAGTTTAACTTCACGAACATTATATATAGAGCTGCTTTAATGACCATTGACTGGTCTATAAAGTGGTCACAAGCACAACATGCAGAGCAGCAGTAATGACTGTTAGTCCAGTAAATTGTAATGAAAACAACATTTATAGATGATTTTGTGAGTGTTAGTCAAACATTCACTTTTGTCGACTAAGCTGGTGTGCCATCTCAGCATGGAAGGAATTTGACGTTTATGACCATTGGTCAAGTAAGTGGTCATGAGCACTACATGCTTCAGTGATCATTAGTCACGTAAGTGGATGTTGGCCTTATATGTAAAAAATAACATTTCTAAAAATTGTTAACATAGTTAGTAAAATGACCAACATTTTAAAAACTCTATCTAATGTTGAAACAGTCAAGGGCAACTGTAGATGACATCGGCATGATGAGTAGAAAAATGAATAAAAGATTTAGTCTTAACAATTAGTATTGTAATGATTAGTTAAATAAATGTTATATGTATGTACATTACAAGTTTTTAGATGTGTTTTTGACCTGTAGAGATGGGTGTGTTTAAAGCAAGATAACAATGATAGTTTAATTACTAGTGTTAACTACCTCGAAGGTCGTTTGAATGGGGTGAAAATTTGGAGCTTAGTTGAAAAATTAATTACAAATATCTTTTGGTCTTTTTGTGTCTAATTGTGGAAAAAAAACTTAGTGTAACTTTTAGCTTGAATTTCTGATGTATATTTAAAATAGTTTGTATTTATTCACTGATAATCAGAACAGACAAATATTTTAAAATATCAAACATGTCCGAACATATCGCCGACAGCAATGATGAATTAATGTATTTTAATCATGATAAACTTTTATTTCAAGACTACGAATACACTTCGTTAAAACAGGACTTTAAAACTAGCTATGCTCACTACTAAGTGTATATTTTTAGTTTGATCTGTGTAGGTAGCTGACTTCGATCAGAAGTTAATTATAAAACATTATGAGATTTTTTTTAATGATCAATAAATCTTAAATAACAACAGAATAATTCATAAAGCAAGCATCACTACTGTAGCGAGAGGTTCACCCGAGTTCCTATTCTCAGTCAGCTTGTTTCTGGTATTCTAGACACACTCACGCACTACCCAAAACTCCCTACACTTTTATCTTCAGAAGGGTGGCACCTATACTTACAGTTTTAATTATTCTATTTTTCAGCTAACAGTATTCTTACTTTCAGGGCACTAGATTCAAGTACAACATTTAATTACTTGTTTTAATTAGTTTAATTATTCTGTTTTCTAGCTCTCCATGTATGATCAAATCAAACAGTTACTCATCCAAACAGGCTATTTCATCGATAACCTAATAACACACTTTGCATCAAGTTTATTGGCAGTAAGTTCCATTTTATATGATAGTTGGATGTACGAAACTGAGCTGTTTAAAGTAATTCTAATTTTCATAAATCATTACCTTCCCAGTTTGTCACTGATGAACAAAAAAAGTCTACCTTTTGAAAGCACTTGGATTATAGTGTTTCTTATTTTTGATTTTAATATTTGTTAACCCTACCTTCAAGTGTCATTTTTTGATGAAAAAAAAAAAGTCTACCTTTTGAAAGAGCTTGTATTGTAGTGTTTCTTATTTTTCACTTTAATATTTGTTAACCCTACCTTCAAGTGTCATTTTTTTTTCTGTAAAAACCTAATTTTTTCCATAATACATTTGTATTTCTTTCCACCAGGGTGCTATAGCAACAACCATGACACAACCTCTGGATGTTTTAAAAACTAGAACTATGAATGCAAAGCCAGGAGAATATAAAGTAAGTTTTTTAATGTTGATGAAGTGAAAACTATAGCACCTCTGTGCTTGTATGTTGTTTGCCATTATAGGTCAGTAACTATAGGTCACCACTAGATGACAGAAAAATGTGGTCTCTGAAGATTTACTGACTTGACAACTTTTAGATTCAACTCGAAGTTTTCGTTGTCTGTAAAACTTGACATGTCTCATTTCCAAATTAAGTTAAAATTAAGTAATTTTTAAGAGTAATGTGAAGTTGATAAACCAGTGCCTTGAAGATGTTTGTAGAAAGATATAGGTTTAGTTTAACTATACAGTTGATAAACCCAATCTACTTGACCATGGTCACAAAAGTAGCACTGAATGTAGCAATTGTGACCACTTACTTGACCAATCAATGATCATTAAAATAAGCTCTAAATGTAGTTCCCGATAATTTACTTGACCAATGCATATACTTTTCAGGACCACTTACTTGACCAACAGTCATTAAAGCAGCTCTAAACGTAGCCGTGGAAGCCCCAGAAAAAAGTCTTTTAACACCTTCAGTTCTATACACTCTCCATAAACCATCAAGAGCATGCTTGTAGCTGACCAAAAATGACATAATAAAACAGTCAATAACTCTCACAACCACTCCTATTTTCAAAGACGACACTTCCTTTGTAACATTAATAAAAAACTTCGTAAGTTAATACGTTAGCTCACGTTTTTTCTTAATGAAGTAATCATATATACTTCTAACCAAGAGCATCATTTGGAGGTGAGCTGCTCCCCTCAAGCTCAGAAGGGGCAGTTTCTGTGAAGCATTTCTAATTACGCCAAATTAACACACATACATAAATTATGCAATATTGTAAAGCCCCCCAAGCTGAATTGGAGGTAGCCTTCTTTGTGACCCCCCTCCCCCACAATGATGCTCCTGCTTTTGATTGATTAAATAAGAAGAAGAAGAAACCACTTTTAAGTCATGAGGTCTGAACTTATAAAAGACATTATTCATCAATTCTTAGCTACGGGACATTTGGTGAATCGCAAGTAAAAATTACTACTTTGGTAAATAAAACTATTACTGATGAAAAAAAAAAACCTGTTAAATCTCTGACGATTAAAGAAAGAAAACACCGGTACTCATTGTTAGTTTGTTTGCTGTATCTGTAAGTTTTGTAAATACCTAAAAATTGTAAAAAATACAAGCATATGTTAATTTAATGCACAGTTTTTTTTAATTATTCAAAAAATAATAAACTTACTTTCTTCTCTGTTCCTTTGGAATTTTAATATCGTTCTGCATCCTACAGAAAGAAAATTTATGTTGAAGTATATTTAATAACGTCAATCACTGAAACTTTATAACCACCAATAACAGGCAACGCACGTTTACTAAGACCTGCTACTAAAAAATAAATAAAATAAGAATAGAGAAGTGTGTGTCAAGTTGATTAAAAACTTCCATAAATATTATCAACCAAATGAAACAACACTGTATGTCATAAAAATCACATTTTTATAACACATTCCAAAATGGACAAATTAAGAGGAGTGTGGAACGAAACAAGTAGAAGTTATCCAACAACAACGATCTTAACACGATACTACAACTACGTGGCAGGCTGCACAAAATAAATTTGTCAGAGAATTTTTCTTTTTAAATTGTTATACTACTGGCTAAAGAGCTGGGCTGAACTTAATCGTACCATAGGATTAACGTCCAACACCGTAATAGTAACACTAATACATAATGGATGTTCCGAACAGTGTCTATATATATATATATATATATATGTCAACTGGCTAAAGGGCTGGGCTGAACTTAACCGTACCATAGGATTAACGTCCAACACCGTAATAGTAACACTAATACATAATGGATGTTCCGAACAGTGTCTATATATATATATATATATATATGTCAACTGGCTAAAGGGCTGGGCTGAACTTAACCGTACCAT